AAACCAGGTGAGGATACCTGATGGGTCTCAAACGCTTGGTGGGTTGGGGAATTCTGGTGCAGGTGAAGGCAGACCCTGGTGGATGGAGAGGAGGAGAACAACAGTGAATCCCACAGTCAAAAAGGCAGATTCCGCCCATGCTGCAGAGGAAAGTGAAGGGCAGATGTGATTGTCAACCGGGGAAGGAAGCCCATCGAGAAGCAAAGCTCTGATCCTAAACCTTCGCTGCCTTGTGAGTTATCTTCAGGAGAAGAGAAGGCTATGGGGGGGAACCTACACAAATCCAGAATGGACTCTCTAAAACAATTGGATGGTGTCCTGCACACCTCCTTCCAGCATCTCCGATGGCCCCTTGAAAGCTAATGAAAGTCTTGGGCCTGGAGCTTTTGGAGGGGCAGGACCAGGAAAGCTTCTGCCACCATTATCCTTCCAATTGGGATTCAGGCCTCATCATGGGACGGAAACTGCCCTGGTTGCGCCGCTTGATGATCTCCGATGGGCTAGAGTCCAAGGGGGAAAAAGCTCTTTCCTGGTTCTGCTGGATCTCTCAGCGGCTTTGGAGACCTTTGACCATGGTATGTGCACATTTGACCATGTGCAGTGGTTCCCCTCCTTCCTCCTGGGCCATGTCCTGAAAGTGGTGTTGGGGGATGAGTGTTCAGACCTCTGGGCTCTCACTTGTGGGGTTCCTGAGGGCTCCATCCTCTCCCCCATGCTTTTTAATATCTATATGAAGACGCTGGGAGAGATCATCAGGGGGGTTTGGGTTGGGTGTTCCCCAGTATGTGGATGATACCAAGCTCTACCTCTCTTTTAAATTGGAACCAGTGAAGGTACTGTATGAGTGTCTGGAGGCAGTTGAAGGATGGATGGTGGCTAACAGATTGAGGTTGAATCTTGACAAGACAGAAATACTGCCCCAGGGGGAAAGGGGCAGGCAGGTGTGGGAGACGCCCTAGACCTGATGGAGGTAACTGTGCCCCAAAAGGACCAGGTGCACAACCTGGGGGTCATTTTGGACTCACAGCTGTCCATGGAGGCGCAGGTCAATTCTGTGTCTAGGGCAGTTGTCTGCCAGCTCCATCTGGTACGCTGGCTGAGACCCTCCATGCCTGGAGACTGTCTCCCCAGAGTGGTGCATATTCTGGTGATCTCCCGCTTGGACTACTGCCATGCGCTACATGGGGCCATCTTGGAAGGTGACTCGTAAACTGCAATTAATCCAGAATGTGGCAGCTAGTGAACAGAAGGGGAGCAGCCGCTGAGACAACATAACACCAGTCCGAAAGGATCTTCATTGACTCCGGGACATTCCTGAGCACAATTCACATTGTTGGTGCTGACCTTTAAATTGCTGTGGTTGCATTTTTAAGGCATAGATTCCTGTTATGCCTTCAGTCACAAATGTATTTGCTGAAGGAATTTTTTGCTGTCTCTGAGCTTTATTTCCTACTCTGCTAATTGTATGTCGGACTTGCTGTGGAAATCATTATGGAGGAGCAAGATCATTGACCTAAAGCCCTACAGCCTCACTCTCTATAGACCTGAAGGAGTGTCTCCACCCCCATCGCTCAGTCTGTACACTGAGGTCCTCCTTCGAGGGTCTTCTGCTGGTTCACCCCCCCACACCCCGTGAGAAGCGAAGTTACAGGGAAGCAGGCAGAGGGCAAGGAAATGGGCAGCTGTCTGACATTTAGGTGACAGCTGAAGGCAGCCCTGTATCAGGAGGTTTTTAATGTCTGATGTTTTACCGTCTTTTATGTGTACTATAAGCTGCCCAGAGTGGCGGGGGAAACCGAGCCAGTTAGGCAAGGTAGAAATACTACAATCATTCTTATTATATTGTTATTCTTTTGTAGTTTTCTTGGATTTCGTACTGCAATATCAGCTCACAAAGTGTCATGGGTGGAGAAAATCACAGGGCTGCCATAAACTGTAATCCCACCCACTACTTCTCATTCACATACAGTCTGTAAATTAGGGGAGGTCACATACCTCACCTGTGCTAATACTGGCAGTTTGTGGCCTGTATAGGCACACCTTGTATGTAGAGCCTCCAGCCACAGGCACTGTCTATCATGAAAATGGGTCCTTTGACTGGGAAGAACCTCAGCTTGTCAGTCAATCTGACACTCCCTACAAAAAATAAGAGGAACAGAAAGGCTTTTGAGGTGCAACTTCTATATCAAGCCTGAGAGCCATTCCATGGACTCTGCACCCCTGTTTCTGATGACAAGTGTACATTATCCTCATCCTCAATGAACCAGGCAGTGGAAAAGACATTAAAGATGGAGGCCTGAGAGAGAGGAAAAGGTTTCTGGCTGATTCCCGGGGGGGGGGGGGGACTGCGGAAACCAAGAGCCGCTTCTGAGAAGGCCTCTCCCCTCCCCTCTTCCTCTCCGGATTTGAACCCCAGCGACTGGGCAGTGCAGGGGTTTATGGGGGCGTGAAGAGGATGCAGCTTGCAAGAGGGAAGCCACACTGGGGTCTCTATCCAGGCGTCCCTCGCACCCGTTAACCCTTTCATGGCCCGCCTTTCTCCGTGCAAATCCCACAGGGATCCCTGCGTGGGGGAAACGGGACTAAGGGGCCCTCGTGGGGACCCCCTCGGTGGGCGCCCCATGTCCGCCGCTGCCAAGGCGCAGCACGGATGCAGGGATCTAGGCCATGCCGACGGGACGCATGAAAGGCGCTCTGGGGAGCTGGCGCGGCGTCCCTACCTGGGTCCTTTTCTGTCCTCCCCCCCCCCCACGACCCCTTTACCTCTTTCTCCTCACTCCAGATTCTCCTTTCCTTTCCTGCAACATCCACGGGGGGGGGGGGGTCGCCTGCTGCCCCTCCTCCCCTTTCCGAAAGCGCGCGTCTCTAGAGCTACGGCGCAGAGCAGCAATCCGGAGTGGAAGCTCCACTTCCGGGCGAAGCAGTCAGGTTGGGAGGGGGGCTCTCCCCCCCTATTCCCGGAACAGAGGTCGGATGGCGAGGAGGAGGAGCAGCATATTGGGGAGGGGATTTCGGGTTGTGGGGGCGGGGTGAGGGAAGGATGTGCCGGGAGGGGAGGGGAGGAACGGGGGGAGGGAGAGGAAGGTTTCCCTCCTCCCCTCTTCCATCTGTGGATCAGGAGAGCGGGGGAGGCGCTGATCCCGCAAACTAATTACAAAGTGGGGTTCCCCCCCATGTTTTCATTGTAAAATCCTTCCCTCGCCCACCCCACGCCACGAGCCGTGCGTCCGTGTTTTAGGTATTGGTGCTCTTCAAACCAGGAGGGGGGACAGTTATACGACTCCCCCAAAACTCCAAGTCCCCACCACAGCCTCGGACTAAGGCCAGGACAATGACCGTTGACACAAGCACCTTCCATGCACAACAGCAAGGAGGCTAAGAAAAGCAGCCTATACAATTGTAGCAAGAAGCGGATACCATGAATCGGACTGTTTCCTCCGACTATCCAATACTGTATAGAAAACTGTAGAAACGTCAAATAATCGTCAAGTCAACGGTTTGACGGATTTCCTGTGTTCCAACGCCTAATGACTCCTCTGGAATTGGGGGATCCAATTCATAATCCACATTCCCTTAGGAGGCAGGAGGCGATCAAGGGCAGCACATGCCCCGGACAGAAATCCATCGGGATGGCAGATTGAATCCTGATACTTTCGAAGGAGAATCGCAGGAAAGCCTTGCAGCTAAGGGATGTGTAAATACTATTATGGTTCTTTGGGGAAGAGGGTAGTTAAAAGGTGTGGGAAAATGGGGTTACTGACGGGCAGGGTGACGGGCTCATGTTTCTAAATTCCAAAGACTCCTACTTTGTGACACATATGTGATTTATGGATGATGCTGTGAAAAAATGTATTGTGGGAAATGGGGAGAGGTCTTAAAAGTTCATGCAACCATATGCAATTGTTGTAAGAATTTTAAGGTCCAATATATATAAAATAAATGTTCCAAACAAGCAATCGTGTGTGTGTGTGTGTGTGTGTGTGTGTACACATACACACCCACCCACCCACACCACAGGTCTGAAGCGCACAGAAAAAGTTCTGGAACCATTTTGTCCCTCCCAAATTGACCTCAAATATTTCTCTGCAAGGTCAAAGTTGGAAACCTCCCCATTTTCTCTTTGCTCACAAATCCTGTCTTAAGGGCACATTTAAGATATGAATAGGGTGAGCCTGTGACATGGATTCAGGAACTGAGTAGCTATCATAAGAAAAGAGGGGCCAGGATGCCCAGGTATTCCAGTCAGGTAACCTGGTAGACAGGAGAGAAACAATGCACTCAGATTTCTGTTGTAGTCCACCCCTTCTCTGATGTAGGTATGCTGTCTTGGGGGTGGTCTTGGGCTACAACCCTTCTGTGATGTATTTATGATGTTTCGGCGGGGGGCGGTCTTGGGCTCCAGGGGGGCAATTTCAAAATGTCTATATAAGGGCTTGCACTCCTTTGTTAGGGGTCTTCTTCTCTCCTCCTGTGGGGGGAACACCCTGTTGCAACAGCTTTAATAAAGATCAGGCTTACTAGCTGCTTTGCTACTTAATATTCTCTCTCTTTTTTTTTTAAATAATATTTATTAAAGTTTCAAAAAGTACATGAATATACAGAATAAAGAAAAAAGTATAAAGTTTTTAAGATACAACAAAAAAGTAAAAAAAGAAAAAATAAATAAAATAAAGAGAAACATACAAAATAAAACAGTTAAAAACACATTAATTTTCCATGGCCTATCTTCCTTACACTTATTTCCCGAACCTCCTCATACCTCCCTTCTTTGTATTCCAGTTCAGTTTGTTAGTTCAGCAAATCCTTACCATTATACTTTTACCCAATTGTTAACCTTTTTTTTTCATATCTCTTAAAGCATTACAGCTAAAAACCTCTTAGTTTCTATCCAACATCCTTCTAAAATTCCTTAATTTTGCAATATTTCTGTAAATAGTCTTTAAATTTCTTCCAGTCTTCTTTCACCGACTCTTCTCCCTGGTCTCGGATTCTGCCAGTCATTTCCGCCAATTCCATGTAGTCCATCACCTTCATCTGCCATTCTTCCAAAGTGGGTAGATCTTGTGTCTTCCAATACTTTGCAATGAGTATTCTTGCTGCTGTTGTGGCGTACATAAAAAAAGTTCTGTCCTTCTTTGGCACCAGTTGGCCGACAATGCCCAAAAGAAAGGCCTCTGGTTTCTTCAGAAAGGTATATTTAAATACCTTTTTCAGTTCATTATATATCATTTCCCAGAAAGCCTTGATCTTTGGGCACGTCCACCAAAGGTGAAAGAATGTACCTTCAGTTTCTTTACATTTCCAACATTTATTATCGGGCAAATGATAAATTTTTGCAAGCTTGACTGGGGTCATGTACCACCTGTATATCATTTTCATAATATTCTCTCTTAAGGCATTACATGCCGTAAACTTCATACCTGTGGTCCATAACTGTTCCCAGTCAGCAAACATAATATTATGTCCAACATCTTGTGCCCATTTAATCATAGCAGATTTCACCGTTTCATCCTGAGTATTCCATTTCAACAGCAAGTTATACATTCTTGACAAATTTTTAGTTTTGGGTTCTAACAATTCTGTTTCTAATTTTGACTTTTCCACCTGGAAGCCTATTTTCTTATCCAAATTATATGCCTCCATTATCTGATAGTAATGAAGCCAATCTCTCACTATATTATATAGTTTTTCAAAACTCTGCAATCTCAATTTATCTCCTTCTTGCTCCAAAATTTCCCAGTATGTCGGCCATTTGGCCTCCATATTGAGCCTTTTCAGAGCTTTTGCTTCCATTGGTGACAGCCACCTTGGGGTTTTATTTTCCAATAAATCTTTATATCTTATCCAAACATTAAACAATGCTTTCCTAACAATATGGTTTTTGAATGCTTTGTGTGCTTTGACCTTATCATACCATAAGTATGCATGCCATCCAAATACATTGTTGAACCCTTCTAGATCCAAAATGTCTGTGTTTTCAAGAAGTAGCCATTCTTTCAGCCAGCAAAAGGCTGCTGATTCATAATAAAGTTTAAGGTCTGGCAGGGCAAATCCACCTCTTTCCTTGGCATCAGTTAATATCTTAAATTTTATTCTGGGCTTCTTGCCCTGCCAGACAAATCCAGAAATATCTCTCTGCCACTTCTTGAAACAGTCCATCTTATCTACAATTTGTAATGTCTGAAACAAAAACAACATTCTAGGCAATACATTCATCTTTTTCACAGCAATACGGCCCAGCAGCGAGAGTTTCAAATTTGACCAAATTTCTAAATCTTTTTTCACTTCTGTCCAACATTTTTCGTTCTTATCTTTAAATAAGTTCCCATTTTTGGCTGTCATATTAATCCCCAAGTATTTCACTTTCTTTACCACATTCAATCCTGTCTCATTCTGAAACCTCTCTCTTTCAATCGGTGTTAAATTTTTCTCTAAACCCTTAGTTTTTAGCTTGTTCAATTTAAAACCTGCCACCTGACCAAATTCCTGAATTAATTCTAAAACTCTTTTAGTGCTAGATTCTGGCTCCTGTAGCGTCAATACTAGGTCATCTGCAAATGCTCTCAGTTTGTACTGTTTAGCTCCGACCTGTATGCCCTTAACCAACCGGTCCTTTCTAATCATATTTAGCAGAACCTCCAGGACCGATATAAAAAGCAGTGGGGAAATTGGGCACCCCTGTCGTGTCCCTTTTTCTATCTTGAATTCTTCCGTGACCACATTATTTACAATTAATTTAGCCTTTTGTTCAGAGTATATTGCATCTATACCATTTTCAAAGCCTTGGCCTACCCCCATCCCATGCAAGTTCTTCTTCATAAAACTCCAAGAGATATTATCAAAAGCTTTCTCCGCGTCCACAAATATCAAAACTGCTTTAGTGTTTATGTTCACTTCTAGTTTTTCCAAAATATCAATTATATTCCTCAAATTATCGGACAAGTGTCTTCCCGGGAGAAAGCCCGCTTGGTCTTTATGAATCTCTTCCATCAATACTTTTATCAATCTCTTGGCCAAAATGTCTGCAAAAATTTTGTAATCCACATTAAGTAACGATATAGGGCCGTAGTTCTTAAGCTGAGTCTTTTCAGTCTCTGTTTTCGGTATAAGTGTAATATACGCTTCTTTCCACGACTCTGGTGCCCTTTTCCCTTCTAATATTTCATTGCAGACTTCCTTCAAAGGTTGCAATAACCACTCTTTCAGAGATCTATAGTATCTGGAAGTCAGCCCATCCGGTCCTGGAGATTTGCCCAGTTGCATATTTTGTATGGCACCTTCTACTTCCTGTTCAGATATTTTATAGTTCAGCATTAATTTACTTTCTTGGGAGATTTTTTGTAGGCCATTTGTCTTCAAAAATTGGTCTATGTCCATTTCCTTCTGTGGCCCTTGTGTGTATAATTGTTTAAAGTACCTCTGGAAGCAATTTCTGATCTCATTTGGATTGTGTATACTCTTTCCTTCCACTTCTAGGTTTATAATGGTATTTAATTTTTGTCTTTTTTTCATTTGCCAGGCCAACAGTTTCCCACATTTGTTAGCTGATTCAAATGTTTTTTGTCTCATTTGTTTAATTTTCCATTCTATTTCCTGATTCATCATTTCCATATATTGTACTTGATATAATTTTATTAATCTCAAAATCTCCTGGGACATTGGTTTTGCTCTCAATTTCTTCTCACCTTCTTTTATTTTCTCCAAAATTTTGTCTTTCTTTTCATTTTGTCTTCACTTCTTTATTGCATTCTGTTGTATCAAAAACCCTCTCATCACAGCTTTGCTTGCGTCCCAGATTACTCTTTTTTCTACATTAGTGTTCATGTTTATTTCAAAATAATCTCTCAAAGTTTTTTGGGCCTTTTTATAAACTTCTTCATCTCGAAATAAGGTGTCATTCATCCTCCATCTAAAGGATCCGGTTGTTGTTTGTTTCATCTCCATCCTTACAGCGTTGTGGTCGGAACAGGTTTTTGGGCAGATTTCTACTTTCTTTATCTGACCAAATATGGATAACTAGAGGAATGGCTACTTAATATTCTCTGGTTGGCCTCTGTTATTTCCTCCTACCGATAGAGAACCTACAAAAGGACTCTGTATGGGCACTTGGATACCCCATAAGGGATAAAGGAGCAGCTTTCCCACCTCATTACACAACCAAACAATCTTTGTGTTTGAACCTTGTTGCAACAAATAAAGATCAGGTCTGCTGACCGAGGTTTTGTATATTTAACGTGGCTGCAGATTCTTTCTTTTGCTAACCAGAGGGACCCCCGGGGAGTGGCACCCTGACGAGCTGGGCAGCGGAGTAAATCCGCACCCCAGGATTTTTTCTTTCTCAACTCTTTCCCACCTGAGCCTCACCCCCTTACCTAAAAGCCAGACACAACAAAATGGGACAGGATTATGACTCCTGCCCTCAGCAAACAAAATAGCTTCCCCCCACCCCCAGAACAAAGCAACCCTGGGATGCTGAGGTCCCCCAATCCCTGAAATGAAAAGGAGGGAGGCTCAGGAAACCTTCAGGGAGCAGGCAAGGAGTGGGGTGCATAGGCTCCAGAAGCTCCTTCTAGCGGATTCCTCCACTCCACGCCACTCCCCACCGCAAGCCGCCTGCCTCCCCATCGCTCCCATGGCTGCTTCACAAGTGTGGGGAAGCTGTGGCCCCTCCGCCTGGAGCTCCAAGTTCCTTTAAGAGCCCAGCGTTGCACAGGGCAGGCTCACCTGCAGCAAAACACAACACAGTTTCCATGGCAGTCTGGAGCCAGGCTGGGGAGCATCGTGGGCACCCCATATAAGAATATATATAATGATTTATTATTTATACCCCGCCCATCTTGAAGAAATTTGCTTCCCCAGTCAGAGGCTCAGTCCTTCTCTGGTGCTTAAGTGCTGCCAGTGGGCTTCCCAGAAGAGGCCCCTGCTGGGCCCCTGAGAAGACAGGGCCTGATCCTACAGAACTTGCCTGATATTCTGATGCAAGTGAATCCTCCTTTGTCCTTCAGGGAGAACAGGGTTTCCCAAATTTGGGTCACCAGCTGTTTTTGGACTACAGATCCCACCATCCCAAGCTAGCAAGACTAGGGATGATGGGAATTGTTGGCAGGCCCTCCAGGTGGCTTTGGAAAGTGAGCCCAGCTGCATGTGACCAGTGTGGGGAGAATTCCTTCCTGGATTCCAGAAGTGGCCATCACCTTTGAGTATAGGGTCAGTGCCCCTATTCCTCCAGCAGGAGCGATTGTGGGGCTTCCTTGCCCGCTTCCATTCATCTCTGCCATTCCCTAAGGGCAATTTTTCTTCAGCCATTGTGGGAGCAGACAGGCTGGAAGCTGAAGCGGCTTCCCTTTGAGTAGGCTTTGCTTTTCTTTCTGCCGGACCGACCCCAAGCAATCAACGCCCTCTCTGCCGAAGGGCTTTCGCCATAGGGCCATGATTCATTTGGAAGGGCCGTCAAAGATGGATACGTGAAGTGAACCCAGCTGTAACACTCCCTTGGAGAGGAAAACATCAGAGCAAAAAAGGCCAAACACACAAAGAAGGTAGATAATTCAATGATAGGACACTCCATTAGGCCTTTGGCAGATCCAGAATTTCACCACTCTTTACCCCAGTTGGAATCTGATCAGCCAATGCCAAGTGACGCTCCTCCCAAGGGAAATGTGACACACAGAAAGCCAGAGACAGATTTAATTGTCTTTGATGAAGACCCCCCGATGGTCCCAGCAATTCAGATAACACCGTCGATGCCGGGAAATTGGGAAAATGCTGCAACTCATCGCCGAGAACAACAAAACCGTGCATATCCTAAGAACGGTTGCATCACTACCGAACCAGTGGGAGAGCTGATAACAATTTCCCCACCACCCCTCCATAACTTTTCCGCAGGGTTCCCTCCGCAGCACAGAAGGATGGGGGGAGGGAGGAACGAACACTCCTGTGAATGGAGAGAAGCAGAAAGTGGAGTCCACAATAGATCAGTATTGGGACCTGTGGCTTTTCAACTTGTTCATAAATGATCTAGAGTTAGGAGTGAGCAGAGAGGGGGCAAAGTTTGCTGGTGGCAGGAAATTGTTCAGGATTGTTCAAAGACAGATTGCAAGGAGCTCCAAAAAGAGCTCTCCAAACGGGGTGATTGGGCTGAAAATACAGTTCATTGTCAACGAGATTAAAGTGATGCATGTTGGGGGGCAGGGAAACACCCTCTTAATATCATGTGCAGGATCATGGGGTCTGAACTTGGTTTCTCTGTGTGCTCTAGGAGACCAGGGGAGAGGGGAGCTGGTCGCAGCAGGAGGGGGGGTCTCCTGGATGCTTCAGTAGCCGGCCTCCTCTGGGTCTCCTGAGCCCCCTCCTCTCCTCCCTCCTCTCCTGAACTGCTCTCTGCCCCAGCCTCTTCCTGCTCACCAAACCCTGTTTCCTCCAGCTTGCAACACCTCCCTTCCATTCTGCTCCCTTTTCCCTCTCTTTCTGCTCATTGCCATCCCACCACCAGCCCCCAGGCTCTGAGCCTTCTTCCCTTGTGGGTCCCCCGGCTGGTGCCTCCCCCCCCCCCGCACCCAGCCAGTCCATGACAGCAAAAGCAGAAACAACAGTAAAATCAGTATGATAGTAATATGGAGTCTGGTCCTCTGTAGGAAAACTCCCTAGCAGCAGGATTGAATAATAACTTCTGGGACTATGGAAAAGGACTATCTTCTCCAAACCCCGGAATAAGCAGGAGCTCTGGGGTTCCTCCAGGGGGTTCATGAGTGAAGATGGGACCCCACAGGAGACTTCCCTCGTACCTGCAGCCCCTCCTTCCCCCTCTTGCAATTAGGCTTGGGGAAACTCTATTGTTAAATTACAGTATTTTAAGTTTTCTTCAGAATGTGCAGGGGGCAGGGATGAAGTTCTGGTGAAGAAGATGTGTGTATAGATCATGCGGTGGTGGTGGTGACAGAGTTTGGTGCAAAAGGTAAACGTAAAGGGACCCCTGACCATTAGGTCCAGTCGTGACCAACTCTGGGGTTGCGGCGCTCATCTCGCTTTACTGGCCGAGGGAGCTGGCGTACAGCTTCCGGGTCATGTGGCCAGCATGACTAAGCCGCTTCTGGCAAACCAGAACAGCACACGGAATCACCGTTTACCTTCCCGCCTGAGCGGTACCTATTTATCTACCTGCACTTTGACATGCTTTTGAACTGCTAGGTTAGCAGGAGCAAGGACCGAGTAATGGTAGACCACCCTGTCGCAGGGATTCAAACCACGAACCTATGGTTTAACCCACAGCGCCACCCGCGTCCCTGTCAAAAGGTACTTTATATCTAAAATTATTCTCACTATTGTGAGACATTACCTTCATTTAAAGAAATACAGCACACAGGTACACACACCAGCAGAAGGGAGCAAGGGAAGCAAGAGGCTGGAACGAAACAGGGCAATGTGTTTTGTCAGGGAATGGTCTGAAGCTGAATATTGGGGAATGCATTCTCAAGGAGATTAGCTTTCCTCAGAAGAGGAGGGGGAGAAACAGCCCCCCTCATTTCCCGTGGTCTCAGAAGCAGGGAGAGACACAGACATAGTGAAGATTAGACAGGAGTTACCTAGTTCGAGATAATGCCAACACTCAGCTGGGCCCTGAAGCCGGAAGCCGGATCTCCTCTGAGTTCATTGCTGTGAAGAAGAGGGGACTCTGAGAGGAACATGTCCCGCACTCCATACATCTAAATGGGTTCTCCCATCTGAGACTCTCTTGATGTTTCTTAAACACTCCATTATAACTAAAGCACTTTCTGTAATCCTTCCATTTAAGCTGCTTCTCCACTTTGAGTTTGTTGATGGTTTGTCGGGTTTCAACTCTTAATGTTCTTCCTGTCCATGAGTCTGTTGATATAGGACTTCCACTAGGACTGAACCTTTATCGCCTTTCCTGACATTTATATGGTTTGTCTCTTGGGTGAGTTTGTTGGCGTAAATTAAGGGTTCCACTCTGACTGAAGCTCCTTCCACACGCCATAGATTTTTTTAAAAAATACTATTTATTGCTAATTTCAAAATTACAAGAAAAATAAAAAATAGCAAACAACACTACAATACAAAAACAGAAAAAAGAAAAAGAAGACAATAAAAAAAGAGAAAAGCACAAAATGTGAAAACCAATACAGCAATAAAAAAAGTAAAAAAGAAGAAAAAAGAGAAAAAAACACAAATCCCAAATTGCATATCCATAATTTCCATTTGCTTGTTTCATTGACCTCCTCACACCTCCGTTTTTGTATTCTAGTTTAGTGATTATTTCAGCAAATTCTTTCCATCTTTCTCAATTTTTGTTATAAAATTTGTCTTAACAATTTAACCTAATAATTAACAAATCCTTACCATCTTTCCCCATATTCTATTATTAGATTACCTTAATTTATTTAACCTTATCTTACCCCTAAGTGCCTTAAAACTTAAATCTTAAATTTCAAATATACATAACTCCTAATATCATTTCTGCTAGATTCGTATAGTTTCATTCCCACATTTTCCCTAATATTCATTAGCTGATTCTAAAATAAAAAAGTTTCCATTATAAATTCTCTTCCAATCATCATCCAGCGTCTCTTCTTCCTGGTCTCGGGTCATGTCAGTCCTTATTGTCCTTATTGTCCATTCCGTCTAGTCCATCAACCTGGAAGCCTTATGTCCGAGGCCCTTAAATCTCTTCCATGTCCCTTCTGCAATTCTTCTTCATCTTCTTTGTGCTTGCCCTTTTCCTTGTCTCTTGTTGGTCTCTGTCTTAGTTTCTTTCCTTTCTTATTGAGGAGTAGGTCTCTGGGGGATTCCAACCCAAAATTGTCTCCATCACCCTTCATCCAGCTCACCCATTCCCCACAGTCCCACTCCCCACAGTCCTCGATGTAATCCAAAATGAATTTAAAATCAAATTTCAGAATCTCTCCAAAGCTAGAAGTCTCCTCATCTCCAGACTCCCCTTGGCCCACTCCAGCTTCAATCTTCAATAACAGTGGCTTATGCTCCTGTAGGGCCTCGGGTCTCTCCATTTCTACTATTTGAGGTGCAGCCACATCCTCCTCCATTGTCAACTGCACTTGCCCAGTCGGTACAGATTGATAGGTTGGTTCTCGGATGATTTCTGTATCGATGTTATTAACCACAACAGTCAAATCCATTTTCTCATTCATCAAGTCCATCTTTTCATGCATCTGTTCCAGCAAAGCATTTGTCTTGCATAGAGCAAGAAACCAGTCTTTCTCCCAGCTCATCTTTGTTCAAGGTCGGAAAAGTCTGTTCCCACAGTCTTAATCTCACAGATGTTGGGTCTCAAATATGCTGCAACAACAATTTAGCAAGCTCCCTCTAGAGGAGACAATCTACTTGTAGCCATTTTTTTCTTTAAAGACAAAGGAAAGTTACTTTCACTTTTCAGCTATTTCAGACGTTTTTCAGATATTTTGTTTCTTTAAGATGCAAAAGGCAACATTAGAATCAACTTGTTTCTCTTCATTAGCTATCTGTCAAAGTGTTATGTTCACCATCAATGAACCTCAGCAACAGTTTCTGTCTCTGACACCCCGTTCCCAGGTTAGAGACGATGGAAACTTATCCTTCTTCACTCCCTCTCCTGCTAGGGTTAAACAGAGTCCCCCCGCCTTTTCTCCTGCTTCCAAGGGGGGTTTCAGTGGTTCTAAATGAAGGAAATTTAGTCCTTTTTGACAGCTTCCCGGCTTTAGCTTGCAAAAGTTTTGCTTTAGTCTATATACAAAGAAACGGAAGGCGGACTTCCTGTTTACACCTTCCCGCTTCGTTACCAAATTAAAACAATTTCTTGATCCAATTTTCCGTTTCTACTCACGGGTACTTGTTTTAAGTCCAATTGTCCACAGGAAAAAGCCAGCGCTCTCTGGCAATGGCTGTGCGGCTTCACTCCGTGAAAGTAGCAGTCAGTTCGTAGCACCGCGCTTCTCACCCCACTTCGCTCCGGAGCCCCTAGATAGGATTCCCCGCGAGTAGGGGGGCGCTTCTGGTGCCCTGCCGAACCCCAGGTTCCCAGGCTTCCTCCGCCTGGGATTTCGAGCGGGTCCCCACCTTCGCCCCGGCGGGAAGACACAGTTTTCACGGAGCCCATTCCTCCAGTCGGAGGAACTCTGCCATTCACCAATGGCGCTGACCCGGAAGTCCACACGCCATAGATTTAAATGGTTTCTCCCATGTGTGTCTGCTGATGTTTTCTAAGATTTCCACTTTCACTGAAGCTCTTCCCACACTCCAGGCATTCAAATGGTTTCTCCCTTGTGTGATTCCATTGATGTCTTCTAAAGTTTCCATTATGATGAAAGCTCTTTCCGCACTCCACACATTTAAATGGTTTCTCCCCTGTGTGAGTCCGTAGATGAATACTGAGGTGACCACTCTGGCTGAAGCTCTTTCCGCACTCCATACATTTAAATGGTTTCTCCCCTGTGTGAGTCCGTTGATGTGTTCTAAGGGATGCATTGAAATTAAAGCTCTTTCCACACTCCATGCATTCATATGGTTTTTCACCCGTGTGAATCCGTTGATGGCTTCTAAGGTTTCCATTCCGACTGAAGCTCTTTTCACACTCCATACATTTATATTGTTTCTCCCCTGTGTGAGTCCGTTGATGTATATTGAGGTGTGCATTCTGACTGAAGTGCTTTCCACACTCCATACATTCATATGGTTTCTCCCCTGTGTGAGTCCGTTGATGCATTCTAAGGGTTGAATTGAAACTAAAGCTCTTTCCGCACTCCGTACATTTCAATGGTTTTCCCCCTGTGTGAGTCTGTTGATGTATTCGAAGTTTTCCATTTTCACTAAAGCTCTTTCCGCACCTCATACAATTATATGGTTTCTCCCCTGTGTGAGTCCGTTGATGGCTTCTAAGGTTTGCATTCTGACTGAAGCTCTTTCCGCACTCCATACATTTAAATGGTTTTTCCCCTGTGTGAGTACGTTGATGTGTTCTAAGTTCTCCACTTTGACTGAAGCTCTTTCCGCACTCCATACATTTATAGGGTTTCTCCCCTGTGTGACTTTGTAGATGAATATTGAAGTGTTCACTCTGATTGAAGCTCTTTCCACACTCTATGCATTTAAAAGGTTTTTCACCCGTGTGAGTCCGTTTGTGCCGTTTAAGATTTCCACTCCGACTGAAACCCTTTCCGCACTCCATACACTTATATGGTTTCTCCCCTGTGTGAGTCCGTTGGTGTATTCTAAGGTCTCCATTTTCACTAAAGCTCTTTCCGCACTCCATGCATTTAAAAGGTTTTTCACCCGTGTGAGTCAGTTGATGTGTTCTAAGGCTTCCATTGAAACTGAAGCTCTTTCCGCACTCCATACATTTAAATGGTTTATGTGTGCTATGTATGCTCATTCAGTGAAGCATATTCCACATTTGGCACATTTTAATTTCTCTTCCTAATTAAACTGAAGGTGCCCGATCCCCTGAAGTTTTGACTGTCTTCTCCTTCACCTTCTTCAGAGTGGGAGGAAAGGAAATCCTGTTTGGGTTTCAAGGAAGAGAACAAAGGAAAAGAGAGCACATCAGATGCCATTAGCACCACCTCATATTTCAACATATCCTACATTTCCCGCATCCTACCCTTGTTCCAAATTTTTAGGAAATGAAAATGCAATGTCATCAAATGATAGCAATGCATCAGCAACCTTTCATAATCCTCAATCAGCAGCATGATAAAGCAGCATGATATTGGAATACAGACTTTTCCAACCAATTGTTTCCTCACAGGAAATGCAGCTGCTCTCTGTCGATGTAAAGGCCCTCTCTTTCTCTGGTCCATCGTTCCTTTGGACATTTCCCATCCTCTGCAACATAATCCTCCATCCACCTCTGTCTCTTAATGAATCACCTGCACAGTCCCATTGGCCTCAGGAGGTCCATATGGACTATTATGTGAGACCTAGGTCTATGCCTTTTCCAGGGACTGTGGTCTGGGTTAGTCAGAGAACTAGTGACAAGTCTTGGTGCTTTGGGTCAGCTGAATGGGTGCTCAGGGAAGCTCCTGTTCTTGGAGATGGACCTCCGTCTAGATGCCTTGCATTGCATGGAAAGAGAAGGAGAAGCAGAAGGAAAGCAGCTGGCGCATGGGAATCCCAGACGGAAAAACCCACCCCCATTGCTCCGTATAATAATGAGGTGCAGCCTCATCTTGTGCCTGTCTCCTGAATCAGGACTATCCTAAAATGACACTTACAAATCTGAATACTAAAGGCAAATAGATAACTGTATTTAATGGAAACTTCATCCTTGAATATGTAGTATTGAGTCATTAAGAGCCTGAAGTTATGTTGTTTCTTGAGAAATAAATTTATTCCTGATCTGTCTTAAATATCATAATTATAGGATGGCTTGGGGTGTTAGGGGAGCGGTAGTACCTTTGGTGGGCGACATGTAGTCCACCTTGTGGGGTAATTTTTCCACCATTGGTCCCCACCCTGCACTCAGCTCTCACCTGTGGCTTCCAGAAGCTGCCAGAATGCAACAGAGGCAGCGATCCAAGCAACAGCTTCAACGGGCCGGCTAAACCAGGTGAGGATACCTGATGGGTCTCAAACGCTTGGTGGGTTGGGGAATTCTGGTGCAGGTGAAGGCAGACCCTGGTGGATGGAGAGGAGGAGAACAACAGTGAATCCCACAGTCAAAAAGGCAGATTCCGCCCATGCTGCAGAGGAAAGTGAAGGGCAGATGTGATTGTCAACCGGGGAAGGAAGCCCATCGAGAAGGAAAGCTCTGATCCTAAACCTTCACTGCCTTGTGAGTTATCTTCAGGAGAAGAGAAGGCTATGGGGGGGAACCTACACAAATCCAGAATGGACTCTCTAAGACAATTGGATGGTGTCCTGCACACCTCCTTCCAGCATCTCCGATGGCCCCTTGAAAGCTAATGAAAGTCTTGGGCCTGGAGCTTTTGGAGGGGCAGGACCAGGAAAGCTTCTGCCACCATTATCCTTCCAATTGGGATTCAGGCCTCATCATGGGACGGAAACTGCCCTGGTTGCGCCGCTTGATGATCTCCGATGGGCTAGAGACCAAGGGGGGAAAAGCTCTTTCCTGGTTCTGCTGGATCTCTCAGCGGCTTTGGAGACCTTTGACCATGGTATGTGCACATTTGACCATGTGCAGTGGTTCCTCTCCTTCCTCCTGGGCCATGTCCTGAAAGTGGTGTTGGGGGATGAGTGTTCAGACCTCTGGGCTCTCACTTGTGGGGTTCCTGAGGGCTCCATCCTCTCCCCTATGCTTTTTAATATCTATATGAAGACGCTGGGAGAGATCATCAGGGGGTTTGGATTGGGTTTTCCCCGGTATGTGGATGATACCAAGCTCTACCTCTCTTTTAAATTGGAACCAGTGAAGGTACTGTATGAGTGTCTGGAGGCAGTTGAAGGATGGATGATGGCTAACAGATTGAGGTTGAATCTTGACAAGACAGAAATACTGTCCCAGGGGAAAGGGGGCAGGCAGGTGTGGGAGATGCCCTAGAACTGATGGAGGTAACTGTGCCCCAAAAGGACCAGGTGCACAACCTGGTGGTCATTTTGGACTCACAGCTGTCCATGGAGGCACAGGTCAATTCTGTGTCCAGGGCAGTTGTCGGCCAGCTCCATCTGGTACGCTGGCTGAGACCCTCCATGCCTGGAGACTGTCTCCCCAGAGTGCTGCATATTCTGGTGATCTCCCGCTTGGACTACTGCCATTCGCTACATGGGGCCATCTTGGAAGGTGACTCGTAAACAGCAACTAATCCAGAATGTGGCAGCTATAGAACAGAAGGGGAGCAGCCGCTGAGACAACATAACACCAGTCTGAAAGAATCTTCACTGACTCCCAGTACATTTCTGAGCACATTTCACATTGTTGGTGCTGACCTTTAAATTGCTGTGGTTGCATTTTTCAGGCATAGATTCCTGTTATGCCTTCAGTCACAAATTTATTTGCTGAAGGATTTTTTTGCTGTCTCTAAGCTTTCTTTCCTACTCTGCTAATTGTATGTCGGACTTGCTGTGGAAATCATTATGGAGGAGCAAGATCATTGACCTAAAGCCCTACAGCCTCACTCTCTATAGACCTGAAGGAGTGTCTCCACCCCCATCGCTCATTCTGTACACTGAGGTCCTCCTTTGAGGGTCGTCCGCTGGTTCAACCCCACCCCCCCACCCCCATTGAGAAGCGAAGTTACAGAGAAGCAGGCAGAGGGCAAGGAAATGGGCAACTATCTGACATTTGGAAGACAGCTGAAGGCTGATGTTTTGCTTTCTGTTATGTGTACTGTAAGCTGCCCAGAGTGGCTGGGGAAACCCAGCCAGATAGGCAGGGTAGAAATACTACAATCTACGACAAGTATTAATATACGACAAGTATTAATAATTTGGGACAGAAGGTAAATACTAATACAGAAACTATTCAGAAACTATTACAGGAATCCACTTCGACACGTAAGACAGCCGAAGAGGCTAAAGAAATTGCCACTGCTACAGCTACTGTGGTAGAAGAGAAGATACCACCGCTTCATAAACAACTTGAAGACCATAAGTCAATTCTGTCTATGATCGAGTTGAAGGAGAAACAAGTGAATTTCAGGGTCAGGGCTGTACCTAAAGTGGAGAAAGACAATTTGATTGAATTTCTTACGCAGGAATTTGCAGACTTTTGGAACCCAGATTTGGGAAAGGACAGTTTTAAGATAGTGAGTGCTTTTAGGCTTGGAAAAGGAGGGAGAAAGAACAGGGTGAGAGACTGTTTGATCACCCTCCGAACAAAAGAAGAGAGAGATAAAATCCTGAGCCTGCATTTCCAGAAGACCTTGGAAATACAACAGTCAAAAGTGGAGATATTCAAGGATATTCCGAAACATCTTTTGGACCTTAGGTCCAATTATAAAGATTTGGTTACCCTGCTGAGAAGCAACGGAATCATTTTTAGGTGGGAATTCCCCCAAGGCCTATCTTTTAGCTAGAAAGGAAAGAAGATAAAAATAAGATCAGAAGACGACAAAGACAAATTTTGGAGAGACCACGGAGAAGACCTGCAGAAGAAAGTTACAGGAGAGCTAAGAGCACTTGCAAGAGAAACCTTAGACACACCAGATCTACCTCTGGAACTAAAAGACCGCCTGAAAAAGGTGATACCACCGACAGAACAGGAACAGGCACTGGGTGCTGTTGGAGGAGAAGTAAAGTAGCTACATCATGGCTCTGCAACTACTAAGTTGGAATTGTAATGGCTTGAACTCCCCTCAGAAAAGGAGATCTGTGTTTCATTTATTAAAAAGGAACAATTGGACTTGATTTGTCTACAAGAAACACATATAACAAGGCTACACAGGAAATTATTGATTAATAAAAGACTTGGTCAGGAGTTTATTTCATCGGACAAGGTTAAAAAAAGAGGGGTTGTGATTTATGCAAAGGACAGCTTATCACCGAAATTTATTTTTAAAGATGACCAAGGAAGATTTGTGGCAATCGAAATTCAAACACAAGGAGAAAAATTTTTGATAGTAGGAATTTATGCACCAAATGAGGGGAAATCTGATTTTTTTAAGAAGTTGCATGAGACCCTGATGGACTATTTGGATTACAACATGATTTTGATGGGAGACATGAATGGAGTGGTATCTACACATATGGACAAGGCACAAAGACAGGTAGTCACTAAAGATGGTAGACTACCGAAAACTTTTTTTGAGATGACAGACAACTTGGACTTAGTTGACATTTGGAGAACAAGGAACCCCATGGCTAAAGAGGGAACCTTCTTTTCTGAAGCCAAAATGACATGGACAAGAATGGACCAAATATGGGTAACTAGAGGAATGGCACCAAAGACAAGAAAAGTGGAAATCTGCCCCAAAACCTGCTCCGACCATAATGCTGTCAAGATGGAAATGAAACTAACACCAACTGGCTCCTTTAGATGGAGGATGAATGACACCTTATTTAGAGATGAAGAAGTGCTTAAGAAGGCCCAAAAAACCTTGAGAGACTATTTTGAGATAAATATGAGCACCAATGTGGAAAAAAGAGTAATCTGGGACGCAAGCAAAGCGGTTATGAGAGGGTTCTTGATACAACAGAATGCATTAAAGAAGAGAATCCAAAATGAGAAGAAGGATAAAATATTGGAGAAAATAAAGGATAGTGAAAAAAAGATTGAGAATAAAACCAAAGTCTCAAGAGATTTTGAGAGAAATAAAGTTATATCAAGTGCAATATATGAAAATGATGAATCAGGAGATAGAATGGAAAATTAAACAAATGAGACAAAAGACATTCGAGTCTGCTAACCAATGTGGGAAATTGTTGGCTTGGCAAATGAAAAAAAGACAAAAATTAAATACAGTTACAAAGTTAGAAGTGGAAGGAAGGAATATACAGAACCCAGCTGAGATTAGAAATTGTTTCCAGAGGTACTTTAAACAACTATATACACAAGGGCCACTGAAAGAAACTGATCTAGATCGATTTTTGAAAACAAGTGGATTACAAAAAATCTCTCAAGAAAATAAATTAATGTTGAACTATAAAATAACTGAACAGGAGATAGAAGGTGCCATTCAAAATATGCAATTGGGTAAATCTCCAGGACCGGATGGACTGACTTCTAGATATTACAGATCCTTGAAAGAATGGCTAGTACAACCCTTGAAAGAGGTCTGTAATGAAATAATGGAAGGAAAAGGGCACCAGAGTCGTGGAAAGAAGCTTATATCACACTTGTACCGAAAACAGAGACTGAAAAGACGCAGCTTAAGAACTACCACCCCATATCACTACTTAATGTGGATTACAAAATTTTTGCAGACATTTTGGCTAAGAGACTGAAAAAAGTGTTGATGGAAGAGATTCATAAAGACCAAGCGGGCTTTCTCCCGGGAAGACACTTGTCTGACAATTTGAGGAATAGAATTGATATTTTGGAAAAACTAGAAGTGAACATAAATACTAAAGCAGTTTTGATATTTGTGGACGCGGAGAAAGCTTTGACAACATTTCTTGGAGTTTTATGAGGAAGAACCTACAGGGTATGGGGGTAGGCCAAGGCTTTGAAAACGGTATAAGTGCAATTTATTCAGAACAAAAGGCTAAATTAATTGTAAATAATGTGGTGACGGAAGAATTTAAGATAGAGAAAGGGACACGACAAGGTTGCCCAATTTCCCCACTGCTTTTTATTTCGGTCCTGGAGGTTTTGCTGAACATGATTAGAAGGGACCAGTTGCTTAAAGGTATACAGGTCGGAGCTAAACAGTACAAATTGAGAGCATTTGCAGATGACTTAGTACTGACGTTACAGGAGCCAGAATCACTGGAGAGAGAGAGGTTTCAGAATGAGACAGGTTTAACAGTGGTTAAGAAAGTTAAATACCTGGGGATTAACATGACAGCAAAAAATGGGAATTTATTTAAAGATAACTATGAAAAATGTTGGGCGGAAGTGAAAAAAGATTTAGAAATTTGGTCAAATTTGAAGCTTTCGCTGCTGGGCCGTATTGCTGCGGTAAAAATGAATGTATTGCCTAGAATGTTGTTTTTGTTTCAAACATTGCAAATTGTGGACAAAATGGACTGTTTCAAGAGGTGGCAGAGAGATATTTCTAGATTTGTCTGGCAGGGCAAGAAGCCCAGAATAAAATTTAAAATATTAACAGATGCAAAGGAAAGAGGTGGATTTGCCCTGCCAGACCTCAAACTGTATTATGAATCAGCAGCTTTTTGCTGGTTGAAAGAATGGCTGCTTCTTGAAAACACTGACATTTTGGATTTAGAAGGTTTTAACAATGTATTTGGATGGCATGCATATCTGTGGTATGATAAGGTCAAAGCACATAAAGTATTTAAAAACCATATTGTCAGGAAAGCATTGTTTAATGTCTGGATAAGATATAAGGATTTATTGGAAAATAAAACCCCAAGGTGGCTGTCACCGATGGAAGCGAAAGCTTTGAAAAAGCTCAATATGGAGGTCAATTGGCCGAAATATTGGGAAATTTTGGAACAAGATGGAGATAGATTGAAACTGCAGAGTTTTGAAAAATTAAAAAACAAAGTGCGAGACCGGCTTCATTATTATCAGATAATGGAGGCATTCAATTTGGACAAGAAAATTGGCTTCCAGGTGGAAAAATCAAAATTAGAAACAGAATTGTTAGAACCCAAAACTAAGATTTTGTCAAAGATGTATAACTTGCTGTTGAAATGGAATACTCAGGATGAAACGGTGAAATCTGCTATGATTAAATGGGCACAAGACGTTGGACATAATATAATGATGGCTGACTGGGAACAGTTGTGGACCACAGGTATGAAGTTTACGGCATGTAATGCCCTAAGAGAGAATATTATGAAAATGATATACAGGTGGTACATAACCCCAGTCAAGCTTGCAAAAATCTACCATTTGCCCGATAACAAATGTTGGAAATGTAAAGAAACTGAAGGTACATTCTTTCACCTTTGGTGGACGTGCCCAAGGATTAAGGTTTTCTAGGAGATGATTTATAATGATTTAAAAAGGTATTTAAATATACCTTCTTGAAGAAACCAGAGGCCTTTCTCCTGGGCATAGTCGGCCAATCAGTGTTAAAGAAGGATAGAACTTTCTTTATGTATGCTACAACAGCAGCAAGAATACTTATCACAAAACATTGGAAGACACAAGATCTACCCACACTGGAGGAATGGAAGATGAAAATGATGGACTATATGGAATTGGCGGAAATGACTGGCAGAATCCGAGACCAGGGAGAAGAGTCGGTGGAAGAAGATTGGAAGAAATTTAAAGACTACTTACAGAAATATTGCAAAATTAATGAATGTTAGAACGATGACGGATTGAAGTTAAGCGGTTTCTAGCGGTAATGGTATAAAAGAATATGGAAAAATTGGTTTTTAATATCTAAAAATTTAATGTTATAATATATCAAGATTAAAGTTCAGGATTAAAAAGGAGGGAAAGGAATCGCTGGACTAAAAAATTGAATTAGAATACAAAAGAGGGAGGTATGAGGAGGTCCGGGAAACAAGCCACACTGGGGTCTCTATCCAGGCGTCCCTCGAGCCCGTTAACCCTTTCGTGGCCCGCCTTTCTCCGTGCAGATCCCACAGGGCCCCAGGGATCCCTGCGTGGGGGAAACGGGACTAAGGGGCCCTCGTGGGGACCCCCTCGGTGGGCCCCCCATGTCCGCCGCTGCCAAGGCGCAGCACGGATGCAGGGATCAAGGCCATGCCGACGGGACGCATGAAATGCGCTGTTGGGAGGTGGCGCGGCGTCCCTTCCTGGGTCCTTTTCTGTCCTCCCCCCCCCCACGACCCCTTTACCTCTTTCTCCTCACTCCAGATTCTCCTTTCCTTTCCTGAAACATCCACCGGGGGGGGGGGTCGCCTGCTGCCCCTCCTCCCCTTTCCGAAAGGGCGCGTCCCTAGAGCTACGGCGCAGAGCAGCAATCCGGAGTGGAAGCTCCACTTCCGGGAGAAGCAGGCAGGTTGGGAGGGGGGCTCTCCCCCCCTATTCCCGGAACAGAGGTCGGATGGCGAGGAGGATGAGCAGCATATTGGGGAGGGGATTTGGGGATGAGGGGGTGGGGTGAGGGAAGGATGTGCCGGGAGGGGAGGGGTGGAATGGGGGGAGGGAGAGGAAGGTTTCCCTCCTCCTCTCTTCCAGCTGTGGATCAGGAGAGCGGGGGGAGGCGCTGATCCCGCAAACTAATTACAAAGTGGGGTTTCCCCCCATGTTACATTGCAAAATCCTTCCCTCGCCCACCCCACGCCACGAGCCGTGCGTCCGTGTTTTAGGTATTGGTGCTCTTCAAACCAGGAGGGGGGACAGTTATACGACTCCCCCAAAACCCCACGTCCCCACCACAGCCTCGGACTAAGGCCGGGACAATGACCGTTGACACAAGCACCTTCCATGCACAACAGCAAGGAGGCTAAGAAAAGCAGCCTATACAATTGTAGCAAGAAGCGGATACCATGAATCGGACTGTTTCCTCCGACTATCCAATACTGTATAGAAAACTGTAGAAACGTCAAATAATCGTCAAGTCAACGGTTTGACGGATTTCCTGTGTTCCAACGCCTAATGACTCCTCTGGAATTGGGGGATCCAATTCATAATCCACATTCCCTTAGGAGGCAGGAGGCGATCAAGGGCAGCACATGCCCCGGACAGAAATCCATCGGGATGGCAGATTGAATCCTGATACTTTCGAAGGAGAATCGCAGGAAAGCCTCGCAGCTAAGGGATGTGTAAATACTATTATGGTTCTTTGGGGAAGAGGGTAGTTAAAAGGTGTGGGAAAATGGGGTTACTGACGGGCAGGGTGACGGGCTCGTGTTTCTAAATTCCAAAGACTCCTACTTTGTGACACATTTGTGATTTATGGATGATGCTGTGAAAAAATGTATTGTGGGAAATGGGGAGAGGTCTTAAAAGTTCATGCAACCATATGCAATTGTTGTAAGAATTTTAAGGTCCAATATATATAAAATAAATGTTCCAAACAAGCAATTGTGTGTGTGTGTGTGTGTGTGTGCGTGTGTGTGTACACATACACACCCACCCACCCACACCACAGGTCTGAAGCGCACAGGAAAAGTTCTGGAACCATTTTGTCCCTCCCAAATTGACCTCAAATATTTCTCTGCAAGGTCAAAGTTGGAAACCTCCCCATTTTCTCTTTGCTCACAAATCCTGTCTTAAGGGCACATTTAAGAAATGAATAGGGTGAGCCTGTGACATGGATTCAGGAACTGAGTAGCTATCATAATAATAATAATAATAATAATAATAATAATAATAAATTTTATTTATATCCCGCCCTCCCCAGCCAAAGCCAGGCTCAGGGCGGCTAACAACAAACAAATAATCAAACAATCAAATAATCCAACATTCTAAAACATTTCATTATAAAAATTAATTAAAATCAAATTAATGGCAACCGTTAAGCAAAGTTCTGTGCAGGTTGCCAGAGGAGGGAGTCAGGCTGGGCCCTGACCAAAGGCCTGGTGGAACAACTCTGTCTTGCAGGCCTTGCGGAAAGATGTCAGGTCCCGCAGGGCCCTAGTCTCTTGTGACAGAGCGTTCCACCAGATTGGAGCCGCAGCCGAGAAAGCCCTGGCTCTAGTTGAGGCCAGCCTAAGAAAAGAGGGGCCAGGATTCCCAGGTATTCCAGTCAGGTAACCTGGTAGACAGGAGAGAAACAATGCACTCAGATTTCTGTTGTAGTCCACCCCTTCTCTGATGTAGGTATGCTGTCTTGGGGGTGGTCTTGGGCTACAACCCTTCTGTGATGTATTTATGATGTTTTGGGGGGGGGGGCGGTCTTGGGCTCCGGGGGGGCAATTTCAAAATGTCTATATAAGGGCTTGCACTCCTTTGTTAGGGGTCCTCTTCTCTCCTCCTGTGGGGGGAACACCCTGTTGCAACAGCTTTAATAAAGATCAGGCTTACTAGCTGCTTTGCTACTTCATATTCTCTGGTTGGCCTCTGTTATTTCCTCCTACCGATAGAGAACCTACAAAAGGACTCTATATGGGCACTTGGATATCCCATAAGGGATAATGGAGCAGCTTTCCCACCTCATAACACAACCAAACAATCTTTGTGTTTGAACCTTGTTGCAACAAATAAAGATCAGGTCTGCTGACTGCTGTTTTGTATATTTAACGTGGCTGGAGATTCCTTCTTTTGCTAACCAGAGGGACCCCCGGGGAGTGGCACCCTGACGAGCTGGGCAGCGGAGTAAATCCGCACCCCAGGATTTTTTCTTTCTCAACTCTTTCCCACCTGAGCCTCACCCGCTTACCTAAAAGCCAGACACAACACAATGGGACAGGATTATGACTCCTGCCCTCAGCAAAGGGGAGAGGCTCAGGAAACCTTCAGGGAGCAGGCAAGGGGTGGGGTGCATAGGCTCCAGAAGCTCCTTCTAGCGGATTCGTCCACTCCATGCCACTCCCCACCTCAAGCCGCCTGCCTCCCCATCGCTCCCATGGCTGCTTCACAAGTGTGGGGAAGCTGTGGCCCCTCCACCTGGAGCTCCAAGTTCCTTTAAGAGCCCAGCGTTGCACAGGGCAGGCTCACCTGCAGCAAAACACAACACAGCTTCCCTGGCAGTCTGGAGCCAGGCTGGGGAGCATCGTGGGGACCCCATATAAGAATATATATAATGATTTATTATTTATACCCCGCTCATCTAGCTCGGCTTCCCCAGCCACTCTGGGCGGCTCCCAGCCCAATACTAAAAACAAAATACGACATTAAACATTAAAACACTTCCCTAAACTTCCCCAGAAATGTGCCCTAGAAGAAATTTGCTTCCCCAGTCAGAGGCAGCCATCCTTCTCTGGTGCTCAAGTGCTGCCAGTGGGCTTCCCAGAAGAGGCCCCTGCTGGGCCCCTGAGAAGACAGGGGCCCCTTGGGCCTGATCCTACAGAACCTGCCTGATATTCTGATGCAAGTGAATCCTCCTTTGTCCTTCAGGGAGAACAGGGTTTCCCAAATGTGGGTCACCAGCTGTTTTTGGACTACAGATCCCACCATCCCAAGCTAGCAAGACGAGGGATGATGGGAATTGTTGGCAGGCCCTCCAGGTGACTTTGGAAAGTGAGCCCAGCTGCATGTGACCAGTGTGGGGAGAATTCCTTCCTGGATTCCAGAAGTGGCCATCACCTTTGAGTATAGGGTCAGTGCCCCTATTCCTCCAGCAGGAGCGATTGTGGGGCTTCCTTGCCCGCTTCCATTCATCTCTGCCATTCCCTAAGGGCAATTTTTCTTCAGCCATTGTGGGATCAGACAGGCTGGAAGCTGAAGCGGCTTCCCTTTGAGTAGGCTTTGCTTTTGTTTCTGCCGGACCGACCCCAAGCAATCAACACCCTCTCTGCCGAAGGGCTTTCACCATAGGGCCATGATTCATTTGGAAGGGCCGTCAAAGATGGATACGTGCGGTGAACCCAGCTGTAACACTCCCTTGGAGAGGAAAACATCAGAGCAAAAAAGGCCAAACACACAAAGAACGCCAGCCCAATCTAGATAATTCAATGATAGGACACTCCATTAGGCCTTTGGCAGATCCAGAATTTCACCACTCTTTACCCCAGTTGGAATCTGATCAGCCAATGCCAAGTGACGCTCCTCCCAAGGGAAATGTGACACACAGAAAGCCAGAGACAGATTTAATTGTCTTTGATGATTCCAGCAATTCAGATAACACCATCGATGCCGGAAAATTGGGAAAATGCTGCAACTCAACCCCGAGAACAACAACCCCGTGCATATCCTAAGAACGGTTGCATCACTACCGAACCAGTGGGAGAGCTGATAACAATTTCCCCACCACCCCTCCATAACTTTTCCGCAGGGTTCCCTACGCAGCACAGAAGGATGGGGGGAGGGAGGAACACATATTATTAAACGAACACTCCTGTGAATGGAGAGAAGCAGAAAGTGGAGTCCCCAATAAATCAGTATTGGGACCTGTGGCTTTTCAACTTGTTCATAAATGATCTAGAGTTAGGAGTGAGCAGAGAGGGGGCAAAGTTTGCTGGTGGCAGGAAATTGTCCAGGATTGTTCAAAGACAGATTGCAAGGAGCTCCAAAAAGAGCTCTCCAAACGGGGTGATTGGGCTGAAAATACAGTTCATTGTCAACAAGATTAAAGTGAGGCATGTTGGGGGGCAGGGAAACACCCTCTTAATATCATGTGCAGGATCATGGGGTCTGAACTTGGTTTCTCTGTGTGCTCTAGGAGACCAGGGGAGAGGGGAGCTGGTCGCAGCAGGAGGGGGAGCCTCCCTGGATGCTTCAGTAGCCGGCCTCCTCTGGGTCTTCTGGCCCCCCTCCTCTCCTCCCTCCTCTCCTGAACTGCTCTCTGCCCCAGCCTCTTCCTGCTCACCAAACCCTGTTTCCTCCAGCTTGCAACACCTCCCTTCCATTCTGCTCCCTTTTCCCTCTCTTTCTGCTCATTGCCATCCCACCACCAGCCCCCAGGCTCTGAGCCTTCTTCCCTTGTGGGTCCCCCGGCTGGTGCCTCACCCCCCCCCCCGCACCCAGCCAGTCCATGACAGCAAAAGCAGAAACAACAGTAAAATCAGTATGATAGTAATATGGAGTCTGGTCCTCTGTAGGAAAACTCCCTAGCAGCAGGATTGAGTAATAACTTCTGGGACTATGGAAAAGGACTATCTTCTCCAAACCCCAGAATAAGCAGGAGCTCTGGGGTTCCTCCAGGGGGTTCATGAGTGAAGATGGGACCCCCCAGGAGACTTCCCTCGTACCTGCAGCCCCTCCTTCCCCCTCTTGCAATTAGGCTTGGGGAAACTCTATCGTTAAATTACAGTATTTTAACGATAGAGTTTCCCCAAGCCTAATTGCAGGGGGCAGGGATGAAGTTCTGGTGAAGAAGCAGTGTTTGGAGATCATGCGGTGGTGGGGGTGACAGAGTTTGGTGCAAAAACCAGTCACACACAGATGCACCCGTCTTGCATGCTTGAGCAGAGCAACTCCAGCCAAGTAGCAGCAGGGTAGGGGCCACATGCAGAGCAAATCCCACGCTGAGGACAAAAACACACATAGGGGCAGCAGGACTTCTTCAGGAATAGTTTACTGAGCTTTCAAAGCATACAGTTCTCACTGGGTCCCCAGAGAGGCACAAAACTTAGCACCTGTGAGCAAATCCAGTTTCAGCAGTAAAAAAATACAGCACACAGGATATCTAACTCAGGCACACACACCGGCAGAAGGGAGCAAGGGAGGAAAGAGGCTGGAAGGACGCAGGGCAATGGAGGTGTGTCTTTCGCTTCCTGTCGCCTGGGAGAGAAGTCAGCAGCGTAGCATCTCCAGGGACTTCACGAAGCAAAGCTTTCTGCTGGCTGCTTCCAAGCACATCACAAAACACACATTGTGATTTGCAGTGTATTGACATATCAATTGTTTTTCAAAGGTAATCGGGATATGGTCTAGAAACCAGCATTGGATAAGATATCAATATATCGCCCAGCCCTAATCCTCACCCACCACCAGCAATCCATATTCACCCTCTCCCCTTCTCTATTAAAAGGTAAGGTAAAGGTAAAGGGACCCCTGACCATTAGGTCCAGTCGTGACCAACTCTGGGGTTGCGGCGCTCATCTCGCTTTACTGGCCGAGGGAGCCGGTGTACAGCTTCCGGGTCATGTGGCCAGCATGACTAAGCCGCTTCTGGCGAACCAGAACAGCACACGGAAACACCATTTACCTTCCCGCCTGAGCGGTACCTATTTATCTTCTTGCACTTTGACATGCTTTCGAACTGCTAGGTTAGCAGGAGCAAGGACCGAGTAATGGTAGATCACCCTGTCGCGGGGATTCAAACCACGAACCTATGGTTTAACCCACAGCACCACCCGCGTCCCTGTCAAAAGGTACTTTATATCTAACATTATTCTCACTATTGTGAGACATTACCTTCATTTAAAGAAATACAGCACACAGGTACACACACCAGCAGAAGGGAGGAAGGGAGGCAAGAGGCTGGAACGACACAGGGCAATGTGTTTTGTCAGGGAATGGTCTGAAGCTGAATATTGGGGAATGCATTCTCAAGGAGATTAGCTTTCCTCAGAAGAGGAGGGGGAGAAACAGCCCCCCTCATTTCCCGTGGTCTCAGAAGCAGGGAGAGACACAGACATAGTGAAGATTAGACAGGAGTTACCTAGTTCGAGATAATGACAACACTCAGCTGGGCCCTGAAGCCGGAAGCCGGATCTCCTCTGAGTTCATTGCTGTGAAGAAGAGGGGACTCTGAGAGGAACATGTCCCGCACTCCATACATCTAAATGGGTTCTCCCATCTGAGACTCTCTTGATGTTTCTTAAACACTCCATTATAACTAAAGCACTTTCGGTAATCCTTCCATTTAAGCTGCTTCTCCGCTTTGAGTTTGTTGATGGTTTGTCAGGTTTCAACTCTTAAAGTTCTTCCTGTCCATGAGTCTGTTGATATAGGACTTCCACTAGGACTGAACCTTTATCGCCTTTCCTGACATTTATATGGTTTGTCTCTTGGGTGAGTTTGTTGGCGTAAATTAAGGGTTCCACTCTGACTGAAGCTCCTTCCACACGCCATAGATTTTTTTTAAAAATAATATTTATTGATAATTTCAAAATTACAAGAAAAATAAAAAATAGCAAACAACACTACAATACAAAAAAAGAAAAAAGAAAAAGAAGACAATAAAAAAGAGAAAAGCACAAAATGTGAAAACCAATACAGCAATAAAAAAGTGAAAAAGAAGAAAAAAGAGAAAAAAACACAAATCCCAAATTGCATATCCATAATTTCCATTTGCTTGTTTCATTGACCTCCTCACACCTCCGTTTTTGTATTCTAGTTTAGTGATTATTTCAGCAAATTCTTTCCATCTTTCTCAATTTTTGTTATAAAATTTGTCTTAACAATTTAACCTAATAATTAACTCCACAAATCCTTACCATCTTTCCCCATATTCTATTATTAGATTACCTTAATTTATTTAACCTTATCTTACCCCTAACTGCCTTAAAACTTAAATCTTAAATTTCAAATATACATAACTCCTAATATCATTTCTGCTAGAGTCGTATAGTTTCATTCCCACATTTTGCCTAATATTCATTAGCTAATTCTAAAATAAAAAAGTTTCCATTATAAATTCTCTTCCAATCATCATCCAGAGTCTCTTCTTCCTGGTCTCGGGTCATGTCAGTCCTTATTGTCCTTATTGTCCATTCCGTCTAGTCCATCAACCTGGAAGCCTTATGTCCGAGGCCCTTAAATCTCTTCCATGTCCCTTCTGCAATTCTTCTTCATCTTGTTTGTGCTTGCCCTTTTCCTTGTCTCTTGTTGGTCTCTGTCTTAGTTTCTTTCCTTTCTCATTGAGGAGTAGGTCTCTGGGGATTCCAACCCAAAATTGTCTCCATCACCCTTCATCCAGCTCACCCATTCCCCACAGTCCCACTCCCCACAGTCCTCGATGTAATCCAAAATGAATTTAAAATCAAATTTCAGAATCTCTCCAAAGCTAGAAGTCTCCTCATCTCCAGACTCCCCTTGGCCCACTCCAGCTTCAATCTTCAATAACAGTGGCTTATGCTCCTGTAGGGCCTCGGGTCTCTCCATTTGTACTATTTGAGGTGCAGCCACATCCTCCTCCATTGTCAACTGCACTTGCCCAGTCGGTACAGATTGATAGGTTGGTTCTCGGATGATTTCTGTATCGATGTTATTAACCACAACAGTCAAATCCATTTTCTCATTCATCAAGTCCATCTTTTCATGCATCTGTTCCAGCAAAGCATTTGTCTTGCATAGAGCAAGCAACCAGTCTTTCTCCCAGCTCATCTTTGTTCAAGGTCGGAAAAGTCTGTTCCCACAGTCTTAATCTCACAGATGTTGGGTCTCAAATATGCTGCAACAACAATTTAGCAAGCTCCCTCTAGAGGAGACAATCTACTTGTAGCCATTTTTTTCTTTAAAGACAAAGGAAAGTTACTTTCACTTTTCAGCTATTTCAGACGTTTTTCAGATATTTTGTTTCTTTAAGATGCAAAAGGCAACATTAGAATCAACTTGTTTCTCTTCATTAGCTATCTGTCAAAGTGTTACGTTCACCGTCAATGAACCTCAGCAACAGTTTCTGTCTCTGACACCCCGTTCCCAGGTTAGAGACGATGGAAACTTATCCTTCTTCACTCCCTCTCCTGCTAGGGTTAAACAGAGTCCCCCCCCTTTTCTCCTGCTTCCAAGGGGGGTTTCAGTGGTTCTAAATGAAGGAAATTTAGTCCTTTTTGACAGCTTCCCGGCTTTAGCTTGCAAAATTTTTGCTTTAGTCTATATACAAAGAAACGGAAGGCGGACTTCCTGTTTACACCTTCCCGCTTCGTTACCAAATTAAAACAATTTCTTGATCCAATTTTCCGTTTCTACTCACGGGTACTTGTTTTAAGTCCAATTGTCCACAGGAAAAGTCAGCGCTCTCTGGCAATGGCTGTGCGGCTTCACTCCGTGAAAGTAGCAGTCAGTTCGCAGCACCGCGCTTCTCACCCCACTTCGCTCCGGAGCCCCTAGATGGGATTCCCCGCGGGTAGGGGGGCGCTTCTGGTGCCCTGCCGAACCCCACGTTCCCAGGCTTCCTCCGCCTGGGATTTCTAGCGGGTCCCCACCTTCGCCGCGGCGGGAAGACCCAGTTTTCACGGAGCCCATTCCTCCGGTCGGAGGAACTCCGCCATTCACCAATGGCTCTGACCCGGAAGTCCACACGCCATAGATTTAAATGGTTTCTCCCGTGTGTGTCTGCTGATGTTTTCTAAGATTTCCACTTTCACTGAAGCTCTTCCCACACTCCAGGCATTCAAATGGTTTCTCCCCTGTGTGATTCCATTGATGTCTTCTAAAGCTTCCATTATGATGAAAGCTCTTTCCACACTCCACACATTTAAATGGTTTCTCCCCTGTGTGAGTCCGTAGATGAATACTGAGGTGTCCACTCTGACTGAAGCTCTTTCCACACTCCATACATTTAAATGGTTTCTCCCCTGTGTGAGTCCGTTGATGTGTTCTAAGGGATGCATTGAAATTAAAGCTCTTTCCACACTCCATGCATTCATATGGTTTTTCACCCGTGTGAGTCCGCTGGTGTAATTTAAGGTTTCCATTCTGAATGAAGCTCTTTTCACACTCCATACATTTATATTGTTTCTCCCCTGTGTGAGTCCGTTGATGTATATTGAGGTGTGAATTCTGACTGAAGTTCTTTCCACACTCCATACATTCATATGGTTTCTCCCTGTGTGAGTCCGTTGATGTATTTTAAGGGTTGAATTGAAACTAAAGCTCTTTCCGCACTCCGTACATTTCAATGGTTTTCCCCCTGTGTGAGTCTGTAGATGTATTCGAAGATTTCCATTTTCACTAAAGCTCTTTCCGCACTTCATACATGTATATGGTTTCTCCCCTGTGTGAGTCTGTTGATGTGTTCTAAGGCCTCCACTCTGACTGAAGCTCTTTCCGCACTCCATACATTTAAATGGTTTTTCCCCTGTGTGAGTCCGTTGATGTGTTCTAAGGCCTCCACTCTGACTGAAGCTCTTTCCGCACTCCATACATTTAAATGGTTTCTCCCCTGTGTGAGTCCGTTGATGTATTCTAAGGTCTCCATTTTCACTAAAGCTTTTTCCGCACTCCATGCATTTAAAAGCTTTTTCACCCGTGTGAGTCCGTTTGTGCCGTTTAAGGTTTCCACTCCGACTGAAACCCTTTCCGCACTCCATACATTTATATGGTTTCTCCCCTGTGTGAGTCCGTTGGTGTATTCTAAGGTCTCCATTTTCACTAAAGCTCTTTCCGCACTCCATGCATTTAAAAGGTTTTTCACCCGTGTGAGTCAGTTGATGTGTTCTAAGGCTTCCATTGAAACTGAAGCTCTTTCCGCACTCCATACATTTAAATGGTTTATGTGTGCTATGTATGCTCATTCAGTGAAGCATATTCCACATTTGGCACATTTTAATTTCTCTTCCTAATTAAACTGAAGGTGCCCGATCCCCTGAAGTTTTGACTGTCTTCTCCTTCACCTTCTTCAGAGTGGGAGGAAAGGAAATCCTGTTTGGGTTTCAAGGAAGAGAACAAAGGAAAAGAGAGCACATCAGATGCCATTAGCACCACCTCATATTTCAACATATCCTACATTTCCCGCATCCTACCCTTGTTCCAAATTTTTAGGAAATGAAAATGCAATGTCATCAAATGATAGCAATGCATCAGCAACCTTTCATAATCCTCAATCAGCAGCATGATAAAGCAGCATGATATTGGAATACAGACTTTTCCAACCAATTGTTTCCTCACAAGGAAAGGCAGCTGCTCTCTGTCCATGAAAAGGCCCTCTCTTTCTCTGGTCCATCGTTCCTTTGGACATTTCCCATCCTCTGCAACATAATCCTCCATCCACCTCTGTCTCTTAATGAATCACCTGCACAGTCCCATTGGCCTCAGGAGGTCCCTATGGACTATTATGTGAGACCTAGGTCTATGCCTTTTCCAGGGACTGTGGTCTGGGTTAGTCAGAGAACTAGTGACAAGTCTTGGTGCTTTGGGTCAGCTGAATGGGTGCTCAGGGAAGCTCCTGTTCTTGGAGATGGACCTCCGTCTAGATGCCTTGCATTGCATGGAAAGAGAAGGAGAAGCAGAAGGAAAGCAGCTGGCACATGGGAATCCCAGACGGAAAAACCCACCCCCATTGCTCCGTATAATAATGAGGTGCAGCCTCATCTTGTGCCTGTCTCCTGAATCAGGACTATCCTAAAATGACACTTACAAATCTGAATACTAAAGGCAAATAGATAACTGTACTTAATGGAAACTTCATCCTTGAATATGCAGTATTGAGTCATTAACAGCCTGAAGTTATGTTGTTTCTTGAGAAATAAATTTATTCCTGATCTGTCTTAAATATCATAATTATAGGATGGCTTGGGGTGTTAGGGGAGCGGTAGTACCTTTGGTGGGCGACATGTAGTCCACCTTGTGGGGTAATATTTCCACCATTGGTCCCCACCCTGCACTCAGCTCTCACCTGTGGCTTCCAGAAGCTGCCAGAATGCAACAGAGGCAGCGATCCAAGCAACAGCTTCAACGGGCCGGCTAAACCAGGTGAGGATACCTGATGGGTCTCAAACGCTTGGTGGGTTGGGGAATTCTGGTGCAGGTGAAGGCAGACCCTGGTGGATGGAGAGGAGGAGAACAACAGTGAATCCCACAGTCAAAAAGGCAGATTCCGCCCATGCTGCAGAGGAAAGTGAAGGGCAGATGTGATTGTCAACCGGGAAGGAAGCCCATCGAGAAGGAAAGCTCTGATCCTAAACCTTCGCTGCCTTGTGAGTTATCTTCAGGAGAAGAGAAGGCTATGGGGGGGAACCTACACAAATCCAGAATGGACTCTCTAAGACGGTTGGATGGTGTCCTGCACACCTCCTTCCAGCATCTCCGATGGCCCCTTGAAAGCTAATGAAAGTCTTGGGCCTGGAGCTTTTGGAGGGGCAGGACCAGGAAAGCTTCTGCCACCATTATCCTTCCAATTGGGATTCAGGCCTCATCATGGGACGGAAACTGCCCTAGTTGCACTGCTTGATGATCTCCGATGGGCTAGAGACCAAGGGGGAAAAAGCTCTTTCCTGGTTCTGCTGGATCTGTCAGCGGCTTTGGAGACCTTTGACCATGGTATGTGCACATTTGACCATGTGCAGTGGTTCCCCTCCTTCCTCCTGGGCCATGTCCTGAAAGTGGTGTCGGGGGATGAGTGTTCAGACCTCTGGGCTCTCACTTGTGGGGTTCCTGAGGGCTCCATCCTCTCCCCCATGCTTTTAATATCTATATGAAGACGCTGGGAGAGATCATCAGGGGGTTTGGGTTGGGTGTTCCCCGGTATGTGGATGATACCAAGCTCTTCCTCTCTTTTAAATTGGAACCAGTGAAGGTACTGTATGAGTGTCTGGAGGCAGTTGAAGGATGGATGGTGGCTAACAGATTGAGGTTGTATCTTGACAAGACAGAAATACTGTCACGGGGGAAAGGGGGCAGGCAGGTGTGGGAGACGCCCTAGACCTGATGGAGGTAACTGTGCCCCAAAAGGACCAGGTGCACAACCTGGGGGTCATTTTGGACTCACAGCTGTCCATGGAGGCGCAGGTCAATTCTGTGTCTAGGGCAGTTGTCTGCCAGCTCCATCTGGTACGCTGGCTGAGACCCTCCATGCCTGGAGACTGTCTCCCCAGAGTGGTGCATATTCTGGTGATCTCCCGCTTGGACTACTGCCATGCGCTACATGGGGCCATCTTGGAAGGTGACTCGTAAACTGCAACTAATCCAGAATGTGGCAGCTAGAGAACAGAAGGGGAGCAGCCGCTGAGACAACATAACACCAGTCTGAAAGAATCTTCACTGACTCCCAGTACATTTCTGAGCACAATTCACATTGTTGGTGCTGACCTTTAAATTGCTGTGGTTGCATTTTTAAGGCATAGATTCCTGTTATGCCTTCAGTCACAAATGTATTTGCTGAAGGAATTTTTTGCTGTCTCTGAGCTTTATTTCCTACTCTGCTAATTGTATGTCGGACTTGCTGTGGAAATCATTATGGAGGAGCAAGATCATTGACCTAAAGCCCTACAGCCTCACTCTCTATAGACCTGAAGGAGTGTCTCCACCCCCATCGCTCAGTCTGTACACTGAGGTCCTCCTTCGAGGGTCTTCTGCTGGTTCTCACCCCCACACCCCGTGAGAAGCGAAGTTACAGGGAAGCAGGCAGAGGGCAAGGAAATGGGCAGCTGTCTGACATTTAGGTGACAGCTGAAGGCAGCCCTGTAAAAGGAGGTTTTTAATGTCTGATGTTTTACCGTCTTTTATGTGTACTATAAGCTGCCCAGAGTGGCGGGGGAAACCCAGCCAGTTAGGCAAGGTAGAAATACTACAATCATTCTTATTATATTGTTATTCTTTTGAAGTTATCTTGAATTTCGTACTGCAATATCAGATCACAAAGTGTCATGGGTGGAGAAAATCACAGGGCTGCCATAAACTGTAATCCCACCCACTACTTCTCATTCACATACAGTCTGTAAATTAGGGGAGGTCACATACCTCACCTGTGCTAATACTGGCAGTTTGTGGCCTGTATAGGCACACCTTGTATGTAGAGCCTCCAGCCACAGGCACTGTCTATCATGAAAATGGGTCCTTTGACTGGGAAGAACCTCAGCTTGTCAGTCACTCTGACACTCCCTACAAAAAATAAGAGGAACAGAAAGGCTTTTGAGGTGCAACTTCTATATCAAGCCTGAGAGCCATACCATGGACTCTGCACCCCTGTTTCTGATGACAGGTGTACATTATCCTCATCCTCAATGAAGCAGGCAGTGGAAAAGACATTAAAGATGGAGGCCTGAGAGAGAGGAAAAGGTTTCTGGCTGTTTCCCGGGGGGGGGGGGGGACTGCGGAAACCAAGAGCCGCTTCTGAGAAGGCCTCTCCCCTCCCCTCTTCCTCTCCGGATTTGAACCGCAGCGACTGGGCAGTGCAGGGGTTTATGGGGGCGTGAAGAGGATGCAGCTTGCAAGAGGGAAGCCACACTGGGGTCTCTATCCAGGCGTCCCTCGAGCCCGTTAACCCTTTCATGGCCCGCCTTTCTCCGTGCAGATCCCACAGGGCCCCAGGGATCCCTGCGTGGGGGAAACGGGGCAAAGGGGCCCTCGTGGGGACCCCCTCGGTGGGCGCCCCATGTCCGCCGCTGCCAAGGCGCAGCACGGATGCAGGGATCTAGGCCATGCCGACGGGACGCATGAAAGGCGCTCTGGGGAGCTGGCGCGGCGTCCCTACCTGGGTCCTTTTCTGTCCTCCCACCCCCCACGACCCCTTTACCTCTTTCTCCTCACTCCAGATTCTCCTTTCCTTTCCTGCAACATCCAGGGGGGGGGGGGCGGTGTCGCCTGCTGCCCCTCCTCCCCTTTCCGAAAGCGCGCGTCTCTAGAGCTACGGCGCAGAGCAGCAATCCGGAGTGGAAGCTCCACTTCCGGGAGAAGCAGGCAGGTTGGGAGGGGGCTCTCCCCCCCTATTCCCGGAACAGAGGTCGGATGGCGAGGAGGAGGAGCAGCATATTGGGGAGGGGATTTGGGGTTGTGGGGGCGGGGTGAGGGAAGGATGTGCCGGGAGGGGAGGGGTGGAATGGGGGGAGGGAGAGGAAGGTTTCCCTCCTCCCCTCTTCCAGCTGTGGATCAGGAGAGCGGGGGAGGCGCTGATCCCGCAAACTAATTACAAAGTGGGGTTCCCCCCAATGTTTTCATTGTAAAATCCTTCCCTCGCCCACCCCACGCCACGAGCCGTGCGTCCGTGTTTTAGGTATTGGTGCTCTTCAAACCAGGAGGGGGGACAGTTATACGACTCCCCCAAAACCCCAAGTCCCCACCACAGCCTCGGACTAAGGCCAGGACAATGACCGTTGACACAAGCACCTTCCATGCACAACAGCAAAGAGGCTCAGAAAAGCAGCCTATACAATTGTAGCAAGAAGCGGATACCATGAATCGGACTGTTTCCTCCGACTATCCAATACTGTATAGAAAACTGTAGAAACGTCAAATAATCGTCAAGTCAACGGTTTGACGGATTTCCTGTGTTCCAACGCCTAATGACTCCTCTGGAATTGGGGGATCCAATTCATAATCCACATTCCCTTAGGAGGCAGGAGGCGATCAAGGGCAGCACATGCCCCGGACAGAAATCCATCGGGATGGCAGATTGAATCCTGATACTTTCGAAGGAGAATCGCAGGAAAGCCTTGCAGCTAAGGGATGTGTAAATACTATTATGGTTCTTTGGGGAAGAGGGTAGTTAAAGGTGTGGGAAAATGGGGTTACTGACGGGCAGGGTGACGGGCTCATGTTTCTAAATTCCAAAGACTCCTACTTTGTGACACATTTGTGATTTATGGATGATGCTGTGAAAAAATGTATTGTGGGAAATGGGGAGAGGTCTTAAAAGTTCATGCAACCATATGCAATTGTTGTAAGAATTTTAAGGTCCAATATATATAAAATAAATGTTCCAAACAAGCAATCGTGTGTGTGTGTGTGTGTGTGTGTGTGTGTGTACACATACACACCCACCCACCCACACCACAGGTCTGAAGCGCACAGGAAAGTTCTGGAACCATTTTGTCCCTCCCAAATTGACCTCAAATATTTCTCTGCAAGGTCAAAGTTGGAAACCTCCCCATTTTCTCTTTGCTCACAAATCCTGTCTTAAGGGCACATTTAAGATATGAATAGGGTGAGCCTGTGACATGGATTCAGGAACTGAGTAGCTATCATAAGAAAAGAGGGGCCAGGATGCCCAGGTATTCCAGTCAGGTAACCTGGTAGACAGGAGAGAAACAATGCACTCAGATTTCTGTTGTAGTCCACCCCTTCTCTGATGTAGGTATGCTGTCTTGGGGGTGGTCTTGGGCTACAACCCTTCTGTGATGTATTTATGATGTTTCGGGGGGGGCGGTCTTGGGCTCCAGGAGGGGCAATTTCAAAATGTCTATATAAGGGCTTGCACTCCTTTGTTAGGGGTCCTCTTCTCTCCTCCTGTGGGGGGAACACCCTGTTGCAACAGCTTTAATAAAGATCAGGCTTACTAGCTGCTTTGCTACTTAATATTCTCTGGTTGGCCTCTGTTATTTCCTCCTACCGATAGAGAACCTACAAAAGGACTCTATATGGGCACTTGGATACCCCATAAGGGATAAAGGAGCAGCTTTCCCACCTCATAACACAACCAAACAATCTTTGTGTTTGAACCTTGTTGCAACAAATAAAGATCAGGTCTGCTGACTGCTGTTTTGTATATTTAACGTGGCTGGAGATTCCTTCTTTTGCTAATCAGAGGGACCCCCGGGGAGTGGCACCCTGACGAGCTGGGCAGCAGAGTAAATCCGCACCCCAGGATTTTTTCTTTCTCAACTCTTTCCCACCTGAGCCTCACCCCCTTACCTAAAAGCCAGACACAACACAATGGGACAGGATTATGACTCCTGCCCTCAGCAAACAAAATAGCTTTCCCCCACCCCCAGAACAAAGCAACCCTGGGATGCTGAGGTCCCCCAATCCCTGAAATGAAAAGGGGAGAGGCTCAGGAAACCTTCAGGGAGCAGGCAAGGCGTGGGGTGCATAGGCTCCAGAAGCTCCTTCTAGCGGATTCCTCCACTCCACGCCACTCCCCACCGCAAGCCGCCTGCCTCCCCATCGCTCCCATGGCTGCTTCACAAGTGTGGGGAAGCTGTGGCCCCTCCGCCTGGAGCTCCAAGTTCCTTTAAGAGCCCAGCGTTGCACAGGGCAGGCTCACCTGCAGCAAAACACAACACAGCTTCCCTGGCAGTCTGGAGCCAGGCTGGGGAGCATCGTGGGCACCCCATATAAGAATATATATAATGATTTATTATTTTTACCCCGCCCATCTAGCTGGGCTTCCCCAGCCACTCTGGGCGGCTCCCAGCCCAATACTAAAAACAAAATACGACATTAAACATTAAAACACTTCCCTAAACTTCCCCAGAAATCTGCCCCTAGAAGAAATTTGCTTCCCCAGTCAGAGGCAGCCGTCCTTCTCTGGTGCTCAAGTGCTGCCAGTGGGCTTCCCAGAAGAGGCCCCTGCTGGGCCCCTGAGAAGACAGGGGCCTGATCCTACAGAACCTGCCTGATATTCTGATGCAAGTGAATCCTCCTTTGTCCTTCAGGGAGAACAGGGTTTCCCAAATTTGGGTCACCAGCTGTTTTTGGACTACAGATCCCACCATCCCAAGCTAGCAAGACTAGGGATGATGGGAATTGTTGGCAGGCCCTCCAGGTGGCTTTGGAAAGTGAGCCCAGCTGCATGTGACCAGTGTGGGGAGAATTCCTTCCTGGATTCCAGAAATGGCCATCACCTTTGAGTATAGGGTCAGTGTGTTGAATGGTTTCTTTAAATGTAAAGGTTCATCACTGTTCCACCCGATGTGTATGTCTTTAAGGGGCCAAAGCAAGGGCCAGAGCAAGATAACGAGACCCAGCTTTACAGCTGTGAAACATAGCAGGTGCTGCCGAGTTGTACTGATTAAGCTGTGTTGGCAATTGGGTGTAGTATATAAGGAGCAGCACCTAGCTCTCCCATTACCCTGGGGGATGGGTTGGTGGTTGGGTCATGTTTGTTTGTTAATGTATTTAGTGTAAAAGGAGTTTTTGTTTTTCTTATTAAAACCTTGTTTAAATTATTTTTGAGTCCCTTTTTAATGCATGGTCTCCCCAGCAAGCTCTCTGCAGCGCTACCATACTGCAAAAAGCCAACATCTTTGGTTATGGGCCCAGCTGCTGAGTGGATGACTGCATATTTTTGGACTCTGAGAAAGGTTTGAAAACTCCTTCTCCTGTTAGCGTAGTTCTGTGGGTCTGGAAGAGTTCCAGAATGGTTGACCGGGTTCCTGAAGCTGAGAAGGCTCTGGTCTTCCCACAGCTGACAGATGAGAACTATAGTTTATGGTCTTTTCGGGTGGAGGCGCTTTTGACCTCTAGAGAAGTATGGACCTATGTAACTGATGACCCTCCTGACCCTGTGACTAATGCTTGGTCGAAAGGAGATGCGAAAGCCAGGGCGATAATTAATTTGGCAGTCAGCGACCAGCAAGTAGTCTATATAAGAAATAAGAAAACTGCCAAAGAAATGTGGGACAGTCTTGCAGCAGTGCATGTTAGAAAAGAGTCAGCGTCTGCATTGACGTTTTCAAACAGTTGTACCAGACGAAGTTGCAGCCTGGTGGTGATTTGGCAGCACACTTGAGACGTCTGGAGGCAATACGCGGCGAATTAATTCGAAGGGACATGGAGATACCTGATATTCAGTATGTTTTCATCATCCTTTGTTCCCTTAATGAGGACTTTGATGGTATAGCTAGCCAGATATCTGCCGTTCCACCAGCACAATTAACTGTGGAAGGGGTAACGGCAAGATTAATGGGCGAGTTGGACAGAAGGGAGGCTTGTGCCATAAGCACTCCTATTTCCAGAAAGAATGAGGAACGCCATATGCAAACTTGTGGTGATACAACTGCATTTAAAGCTGCAAAGCGTTGTTGGTTCTGCAATAAGCAAGGACATTTTGCAAAGGACTGCAGATCCAAAAGAAAGCAAAGTACTCCCAAGTCTGTTTCTGTTCGTCAGTCACGGTCGTCAGCTCAGCAGCCGGCATCGTACCGTAAAGACAGAAACGAGCCGCGAGCTTTTCACGCTAGCACAAGAGATCGTAAAAGAATTAAAGGTGCCAAGTGGAATTCTTTTATTGTGGACTCAGGAGCATCTCAGCACGTTTGCAACGATCGAAGCTTGTTTATTTCTTTCGAAGAGGAAATTGGTAATGTACATTTAGCCAATTCACAAGTCTTGCAGTCGCTTGGCAGGGGTACTGTTAAACTTGACTCTTTAAACATTACTATAGCGAACTGCATTTACTGCCCATCAGTGGACAATTTATTGTCAGTAAGGTGTTTTGCTCGTCAAGGCATAACTGTGCGTTTCTTAAAGTCAATGTGTGAGTTTTTCGAGGGGAACAAACGTCTATTGTATGCCCGGGAATCTGATGGTTTATATAGACTGTATTTTCGCACCTACTCCCAATCGCCTATAAATTGCAGAGCAGCACAGTCAAGCCAGGGGTTGAGGAATGTAAGGCCACATTCTGGGTGTGTCCATGAGGCGCACAGAATTCTGGGACATCTGAATTTTGCTGATGTAATTAAGACCAAGAATATTGTTAATGGCCTCAACTTAAAACCATGTAAATTCTTTATGCAATGTCTATCCTGTTGCAAGAATAAGATTAAGGTTGCACGCAAGGGTAGGTGCTCAGATAGGAAAGTAACTGAGCCATTTGAGCGTGTACATTGTGATTTAGTTGGGCCACTCCCACCATCCTTAGGAGGTTCTAAGTACTGGCTTACCCTGATAGACCAGTATAGTAGATATTGTTGGACTTATGCAATAGCTGAGAAGTCCCAAGCATTTGAGAAGTACAAAGTTTTTGCAACTGGG